ATATATATATATATATATATATAAACTTTTCCCAAGTAATAGTTTCAAAGTTAGTATAGTATCTATAAATGATTTATTACAAGGAATTACAAAATTATTATAGTTATCTACAAAGATACTATAATTTTATAGTCTCTTTATAAAATTATCTATATATATTAAAATAACTAAATAAGAGTCATAGATTCATTTGTATTCATTATTTACAAGCAAGTAAAGTTTGTGTCTTTTCTTTTGTACCTTTTCCATCATTTATTATTTTGTTGGGTCAGTTATATTGTTTTCTAATAAAAATGCAATGATGATATCAAATATATGAATCTGTTCAACTCTAAAGAATCAGAATAGCATTATCTGCATGAGTGTGTCATAAACACAGGTAGCAAGACATAATGGAGCTTTGACTGTTCATTTGGTAAGTACTTTAAAAGCCCAGAAATAAATGACTGCTCACTAAAAGTTATATATTTGACATCTTTTCATTATATCAGGTCATAAAAGTTTTATTAGCATTACTACTATTTCTGTACAAATTTACAAAATATGAAATGCCTCCAGATGGTGTATTTAAATGATATTGTGCAATCTTCATCATAAACAGCCACCCAGAACCCAGGATTTCATCACGACAGCAGGAACACATGCAGGCAAAGTGCAGATGGAGCTGAGGCAAATAAAATGGAAGGGGAAGGAAAAGAGAATGGGTCAGGCACGGAGGCCAAGCACAGCCCAGCAGAGGTTGGCAGTGAGAGTTCCGAGGACCAGTATGATGACTTGTATGTGTTCATTCCTGGTTCTGACCCAGAAAATAATTCACAAGAGCCACTCATGAGCAGCAGACCTCCTCTCCCTCCACCGCGACCTGTAGCTACTGCCTCCCAACTGGAAAGACCTCACTTCACCTTACCAGGTAAGTTTAAGGTTAGAAAAAACCAAAACAAAAACCAACCTTTGACAGGCTTACATAGGAAATAGTGCAGTGGCAAATCTATACAGAGCAGATCAGCTTTTGAAACCAAGAGGAACTTTCCTTTTATTTTTTAAAAACTAAGGCCTTGGAAATGAGGCAAGAGATACCCACCTCTACTTCATTCTTTTCTTCCTTTCTCCCTCCCTCACTTCCTTCCTTTTTTTCTCCCTTCTCTCACTTTTTCTCTTTCTTTTTTCCTTGTCTCCTTACAAAGCCTTAAGAAAATAAAACTTAGAAGGAGTCTGTAGTTCTTCACGTAAATGAACCTCAGGCATTCTGTGGAAAAGGAAATACAATAGTGCTTTTAAAACATACTCTTAGTCTTCAGAAAAAAGTGAAATGCTAATGATTGACAATTTTCAGATGCACTTGGGCACTTCATGAACTACAGCACATGATTGCTGTAGGAGAGTTAAGTACTAAAGGGTTTGTCGCACACTACGCTGAGACCAAAGTGTGAAAGCACTTTATACACTATCCAAGTGGGGGAAGTCAACATAGCTGTCACTGGCATTTGTTCCCAGATGCAGGAATTGGGGTGCAGAAGGTGGCAGTGGGGACTCTGTCCTTGCAGAGGGCATGAAGAGGAGCTTCCACCTTAGGTTTATCTGCCTGGAGTGTTCAACACCCTGAAAAATGTTCAGCTTAAGGTTCACTCTTACAGTACAAATTATCATCTACTTTTTGATCATTATTTCATATGTACTTTCTAAATTTATATTTATTTTCCATATAAAACATTCTTAAGAAGATAATTTAGTTTAAAAAAAAAACTCTTTATCAAAACCGCATTTTCACTATAATTTAGTTGCTGGGTCACAGAAGGCTATAAAGTAGAAAAACATGAACTTGTTTCAAAAATTAAATTTTTAAGCAATGAAATTTAGCATTTGGGCCAGGCACAGTGGCTCATACCTGTAATCCCAGCACTCTGGGAGGCCAAGGCAGGCAGATCACCTGAGGTCAGGAGTTCAAGACAAGCCTGGCCAACATGGTAAAACCCCAACTCTACTAAAAATACAAAAATTAGCTGGGTGTGGTGGCATGCACCTATAATCCCAGCTACTCGGGAAGCTGAAGCAGGAGAATTGCTTGAGCCTGGGAGGCAGAGGTTGCGGTGAACCAAGATCACCCCAGTCCACTTCAGCCTATGCAACAAGAGTGAGACTCCATGTCAACAAAAAAAAAAAAAAAAAAAAGGAATTCAGCATTTGTGCCCTTGAAGGCTCTCTGTGAAGACCCAAGTTTACCATAATAAGGTTTATTAAGGTTATGCACTGTATTTAGAGACAGAAAGTACTGCTTAATGGAAAGCTCTGAAGCCTAATGGATATTTCTCTGATTCATTCATTCAGTCAACAGATATTTATTACCTACTATATTTTAAGCTCTTGTGGATCCTTAATATTTATCCATGGAGTAGATGTATTAATATTTAGGGGGGAGGGGAGAAAACATCTTAAGTTAGTTATACTCACTACAACATTCTGGGATTTTTTTCTCATTTTTTCAGATATGAATAATTTGTTATAACAAAATTAATTGTTAAGACAAAACTGTCTTGTGTCAGATTAATTCTCCTAAAAGTGCTGGCCTGGCACAGTAGCTCACGCCTGGAATCCCAGCACTTTGGGAGGTCAGGAAAGGTGAACCACGAGGTCAGGCATTCAAGACCAGCCTGACCAACATGGTGAAACTAAAAATGCAAAAAATAGTAAAAATACAAAATTAGCCGGGCATGGTGGTGGGTGCCTGTAATCCCAGCTACTCAAGAGGCTGAGGCAGGAGAATCACTTGAACAAAGGAGGCGGAGGCTGCAGTGAGCCAAGATTATGGCACTGCACTTGAGCCTGGGCGACAGAGCAATGCTCTGTCTCAAAAAAAAAAAAAAAAAAAGGCACTAAATTTGTGCTTTGGGTCAGGGGAGAATAGAACAAAAATAAAAAAAAAAAAAAAAAAAAGTGATAATATTAAGTCATATTTTTCCTAATGTAAAATTTTATATATATGTTGGTTAGCAGGTCTAAAACGACTCTACCCAAGATCTTCATGAGATATCTGAAATGAGAAATGTAATCTTGGCTAATATATCTCCTGAAAACTAGCAAATATAAAAAGCAAAATAAAACAAAAACTCATCTAATTTAAAAACTCTTTTTACATTTTATATGCAGTGTTACTTTGATCTTATCTTTTCATAACACTGATATTAGAAGTGGATAACAAAATGCCAGTATTTTTTCTTAAAATGGTTTTATTGGTCTTTAAATGCAAGGCTGTAAGCTATCAGTTATTTTTTTGCCAGAGACTTTTTATGTCTTTGACTTTGGCTAGTGATACTGTCAGGAATTGTTCTTCAGGAGTAGCTTCCATCTGCCCTCAAGTTACTGAAGGGGGAAAAAAAGAGCCATCTCATCAATGCTGTAGGCATCACATTCCTCACAATGGATTTATGGACATCTTCAGAGAAATTAATAACATATAATACTATAGGGCACTTTATAGTTTATAAAGAACCCACTGTTTCTTTTTAACATCCCAAGAATCCTGAAAAGTAATTATCAGATCCCTCCTTGACTCAGTCCCAAGAAGCCTGTAATTAGAAAATGTAAGTTACTTACTTCTATTAACAGATCTCCAAGGCTCTTAGGATTTTTCTCTTTTTTTATATACTTTTGCCCCAATTACTTCAAAAGTTGGAATTATAGAAGTGATTTGTTTTCATCGTTCTTCATTGATATGCCACCTGAATTGAGAAAGCTCTGGTTCCACTCTTAAAAGTATAATCTGATACTCTGGAAAATAAAAAGTAAAATGTATTATTTCTAGTGCAAGCCCAACTTTAGAAATAGTTGGGAGGAGAGGTGGGTGGGGAAACAAAGAGAGTTAACAGCTCAGGAAATCAGTTCACAAAGGTAAGATGGTTGACACATTCTGCTAAAAATGAAACACTGAAAAAGTGGTTCCCACACACTTAATCTGGCTTCACCTGTGTTGCTGTCAGTGAAACAGAAGTCATAAAGTCAAAATCTTAAAACCATGTTATTCATAGGATAAAAGGCAAGTCGTGGTGAATTGAAAGTTAGTGCTAGGCACATAGGTAATTAATATTTCCTAGGTTAAACCAAATGAAACCATAAGAGTTAAGACGCTGTTGGGAGATTAGTCTCTCCTCATAAACCTACCCAAGACAACTGCTGACTCTTTCTATAATAATATCCTTTAATTCTGCTTTGCTACTTCTCTTTCTCCTTTTAAACTTCTCCACTGAAATCTTTATAAGTAAACTAATTTGGGAAGTATCAGATTCTCACCAAATGAAGGGCATATTGAAAAAGAATGAAAATGAAAGAAAAAGCCCTCTCATTGGCCTGGTAGAGAGACATTAAAATTCTTTTCAATTTACTTGTTAATCAAAGCATGTATCTTTCTCTTATTAATAACTGCTACAAAAATATTTTAACATATTCTTATAAGTTATTACTGAATGTAAAAACCATCAAAGACTCTGAAACCTATAATTGTATTCTTTTCACGTGAATTAATTCTCAAATCACTGATCATCTATGCTGTCTTTTAAGTCATGAACTCTACTGTCAGTGTCATTCATCCACGTTTTTAAATTTTTTTTTTTGTGACACACGATCTCACTCTGTTGCCAGGCTGGAGTGCGATGGTGTGCTTATGGCTCACTGCAGCCTCAAACTCTTGGCCTAAAGCAATCCTCTCTCCTCATTTTCTGGAGTAGCTGGGAGTACAGGTGCACACCACCTCGCCTGGCTAATTCTTTCATTTTTGTAGATACTCGGTCTCACCAGGCTGCTCTCAAATTCCTGGCCTCCAGCTGTCCTCTTACTTCAGCCTCCCTAAGCATTTGGATTAGGCACAAAAGCCACCACACCTGGCCAGTGTCCTTTATCTATGAATAAGGATCAAGTTGGCTGGTAGAAAGCAAGAGCTGCATTTTTGAAGGTCAGTTTGTCATATTCAAAAACCGACAGCTATGAAACCAACTAATGGTGCCTTTAGCTATTACTCCCTGTCATTTTCACAGAAATGAAATTTTAGGTGAAATATCCAGTGCAAGCAATATGAAACATGAAACAATTTCAAGTGAAAAGAAATACATATAAGAATATTATGCTTGAAAAACACAAGCTTTCAAAGTCTGTGGAGTTTGAGACTTAAGATTTGTAACTCAATTTCCTGATATGAAATCATTCTTTACATATGAAAGTACATATAATATGTATTTTATATATATATAATATATGAAAGTATATATAATATGTATTTTATATATATATAATATATAAAGGTATATATAACATATATTTTATATTTTATAGATATAGTAATATATAAAAATATTTATATTGGCTGTGCACGGTGGCTCATACCTCTAATCCCAGCACTTTGGGAGGCGGAGGCAGGTAGATCCTGAGGTGTGGAGTTCAAGACCAGACTGGCCAACATGGTGAAACGCTGTCTCTACTAAAAAATACAAAAATTAGCTGGACATGGTGGCTCGTGCCAGTAATCCCAGCTACTTGGGAGGCTAAGGTAGGAGAATTGCTTGAACCAGAACCCGGGAAGTGGAGGTTGCAGTGAGCCAAGATCGCACCACTGCACTCCAGCCTGAGCCACAGAGAAAGACTCCATCCAAAAAAAAAAAAAAAATTATATTATGTATATATACAGACACACACACACAAAATAATATGGAAAATATTTAAATGTTTTTTAAAAATCCATGTCTTAAGCAAAGTGTTTTTCTTAATAAAATTTAAATTACTGCAGGATGATTTATTAGTAAGTTACACAGCTCACTTTTCTTTCTGCATTTATGGGGTAATATATAAATTGTTATTCTGGAGCCAGAAGCTCCTCTCTAATATTATTCCCTATGGCACTTGACTAAGCCACCTTGGGAAGCTCAAAAAAGTGACAGATGGACACCGATAACATTGCATATAACAGAAGAGTAAACACAATGTAAATATTTCATAAACAGGGACAATGGTGGAAGGCCAAATGGAAAGAAGTCAGAACTGGGGTGATCCTGGTGTTAGACAAGAAACAGGAGATGAACTCAAAGGGCAAAAAGAGAAGAAAGAAGATGAAAAGGATCAGGAGGAGGAGGAAGACCCATACACTTTTGCTGAGATTGATGACAGTGAATATGACATGATTTTGGCCAGTTTGAGTATAAAGAAAAAAACTGGGAGTCGGTCTTTCATTATAAACAGACCTCCTGCCCCCACACCCCGACCTACAAATATACCTCCGAAAGAGGAAACCACACCTTACATAGCTCAAGGTAATGTTTTATCATTGCTGTGTGTTTACTTGTTAATTTTGTATGTCCAAAATTTTGAGTATGGAAGGAGGGAATATGGTGCTGCAATTAGTGCTCTAAAATTCCAAAGATTAAACATTTTTTTTCAAGTCACAGGTAAGCTATACAGGCTTATTTTTTAATTTAGAAACATAATGAGTAAAGAAAATAAGAATATTGGATAGTTCAGGTTTCTAATTCCTCATTAGGAAGGATAATGACAAGTCATTCATGGAATATGAAACCATAGCATACATGTAGAAATTCTCCTTGATACTTCCTTCCTAATTCTATAAGAGGGAAGCTCAACTCCTGTAAATAATATGCAACACAAGAACATTTAAATATATACCATAGATCCACCTAAGAGAAACATAATTATTCATATATACTTAATATTTTCAATAGAAACTATTCTGTTCCTTAAGCTGCCTGTATATATTGAGAGATTCATATAAGAAAATTTAGCAAGCATATATAAAGTATTTACCATATAAAGCACACTTATTTAATGGTGATGTACTCTTGATAATGTTCAAGAAACTATAACAAATTAGGAAACTATGACAAATTAATGAACTGCTTCTGCTAAAATCAAATGTGAATTGGAACAGTTGTCTAGATTATAAAGGCAGGGAATGAGCTTTTTTTAGAAATTCTCAGGTTGTCTCTCATAGTTAAAATCTCTAGGATATTACCGTCTCCTTGACAAAGTTGATAAATACCAGTAAATACTTTGAAAAGAGAAAATATATATAGCTCAATACAAAACATTAGTTATATTCTAGAAATTTTTGAAGAGATACCTCATCCGCTATACCCCAATGCTTAGGGAGTTTCTCAGGACAAGTATGGAATCCCATGTTGTGTTGCTCTACCTTTTGGCCTTTATCTTCCTGTCCTTCTATTGGTGGTCATATTCTTGTTTTTCAAGATCTCTGTCACATTCTCTGTTGTTCTTTTCTTTTCTCTTTTACGCTGTAGGGGTGCAGAGAGATATAATTCAGTATCTTTGTTACTGATTTTGTTTTGATTTGTTTTTAAATTTCTTTTGTTATTATTTTTATTTTCCTTCTGCTCTCATATTGTCTCTGTTGTCTTGTTTGTTTTGCCTGTAACATTGGATACTTCCATCAAATATGGCTATTCTTAGCTATGCTTTCATGTTTAGGAATAATGCACTGGCCGAGCACAGTGGCTCACATCTGTATTCCCAGCACATTGGGAGGCCAAGGCGAGTGGATCACCTCAGGTGAGGAGTTTGAGACCAGGCCGGCCGACATGGTGAAACCCTGACTCGGCTAAAAATACAAAAACATTAGCCGGGCGTGATGGCAGTCGCCTGTAGTCCCAGCTATTCCAGAGGCTGAGGCAGAAGAATGGCTTGAACCCAGGAGGTTGCAGTGAGCCAAAATCATACCACTGCACTCCAGCCTGGGCGATAGAGCACGACTCAGTCTCAAAAAAAAAAAAAAAAAAAAAGAAGAAGAATGAAGCACTAATGCTTCAATGGAAACTCGTTAACCTGTGGACAGCACTGTAGGGTAATTAGGAGTTAGACAATTTTTTCATTGAATGGCCCCAAAATATTATTTATGTAACTCTATTCTCCTATGCTTTTCACTTTTTCTAGAATAGTCGTCAACTAACTATAGTCTGCACTTACATACCCAGTTGCCAGCACACTGAGATTAGAATGCTGGAAGAAGACTGGGAAATTTCACCATTCAGAACGCACAAATTTAACTTGTTCTCCCTGTTTTCAGTCTAGTGTGTAATTGCTGCCACCCAGTGTGCCTTGTGTCCCATGTCCAAAACTACTTCTGTTCAGTTTCTCTAATGAAGGCAGCGCGCATCATTGATGAGTGCTTCATTTCACAGGACTGGAGAAAGAACTTGGGCTATGACTGCTTTAGACTTTCAACCCATCCCTAAGTTAAAAAGGTACATTTGGATGGTTTTCCTTCTCATTGATTTATTTAGTAGTTACATAAACATCAACTGAGTGCCAATGATAAAACCTGTGTCCCAATTATGTAAATTCTCAACATGCAATATTATAATTTGTCCTGTAGGTATACGTACACATAGAAACATTGAAGAATCCTAAAGATCTTGAGTTTCTAATAAATTTTAAAGTTTACTAATCTCACCCATCCCAAGCATGGCACCCTTCAACATTTATATGACATCTTTCTAATTCAATGATAAAATATAATTTACTCTCATTATATTTGTATTTCATAGAGATGAAACTAGTGTTACAATTTTTTTGCAATTATGAATATAAAATGGGTATGGTTATTTACCCTGTATCCCAAAAAAGTATCAAAAGCTGGACTGTAAATAAGGTCACTGAAAACCTCTTCCATTTTTTATTTCATTTTCTCTTTCACTGGGATATATTTGCCTGCCTTTTTCTTTTATACAATTGATTGTTGATCATTCTGTTCCCACATAGGAAGAGATTGCCTCATCAGCTAATTCATTCTTGATGTTCTTTGCATTTCACAGGATAAGAATCTTTCCTCACATCTTTCCTTTTTTATCCCCTAGCTCAGGCAGATCTATTAAGTCGAATTGCCACCATTTCCCAGAAAACAAGCCACTCAATTAGAAGATTAATTTCTGGCCTGCCAGAGCCCAAAGGTGATATCAGTATATTAGTATATTCAGGGTGTGTTAACGTAGGCAGAATTGAAGAATATGGAATAGGAGATGGGGGAAAACACAGGAATGCACAATCCCAGCTTACTATTTCAGAAGCTCAAGAAGTAATGGCAAAGGGACTAGGCAAAGGAAAACCATACTAACTTTGCAGAAAGATTTGTATTCAAATTTAGCTGATATAACCTAAGTAGGCAACTTCACATATCTGAGACTGAATTTCCTCACTGTAAGTTTGGGATAAAAATGATATGTATTTTGAAGATTGTTAATCTCTAAATGAGATAAAATTAGAAAAAAACCCAGCACAATACTTGATATGTAGTATATGCTCAATGAATTAAAACAATCCTACTTTTTCTTTTCTCAGTTTAGTGTCTGTATATTTCCTGGGTTCTGGTGGAGTCAGAAATTAGGAAAAATAATAGTGCTGGAGTGTGTGAGGGAAGAAAAACCCCATACTCTAATAGGGCAAGTTGGCTTAGTCATATTCTTACAATAATTATTATTAGGCAGCTTTCATAATAATTACTAGTTCACACAATAACGCTGCATAATTGGCATTAATGGCCTCATTCTAAAGATAAAGAAACTTATGCTTAGTGAGTTTCAGCCTCTTGCTCAACATGATAAAACCAGGAAGAGGAAGAGGTAGGATTTGGAGATCCCACGCCTGAGCATATGGCACCACAAATTTCCATCACTGATATATTTATTTCTGGATTTGTTACTATTTATTTCTTCCTTTTAACCTATAAGATCCATGAAGGAAGAGACAAAACTAATGTTTTTCCCCATTGTATCTCTGGTGCCAAGGTCAGTGCTGAATTCACAGTAGAAACTGTGCATATTTGGTGCATATTAACTGAATGAAATGATAGAAGTGACAAGATCCACATCAATGTGGCTAAAACAGAAGGCTTCATTAACACACTGGAAGGTAATCAGAAGAGTATATCAGTCTACTAATTCCTAAGTCTCTCCTGCTTTAAACCATCTTATGTCCAAAATAGTGCTAATTTGAAGGAAAGAGCCCACACAGAATTGGACAAAGCTGTAGGTTATTCATATATTGCTAAGCACTCTCTAACTGCTTTCACAAAGTTTAAAACATGTGAGAGAGAAGCTCTATATCCACCATCATCATCATCATCCCTCTACCCCAGAGATGTAACTTATTAATGCAAAACTGAACCCATGATGTTTCATTTTATCAAGAGATATGTTTATGATTTTTTATCTCATTGCTGTTGTACTAAAACCTGATCTTAGGTTAACATCCACAACAAGAATAACTCATTTTTCTTAAGTAAAATTTTTTGAAGTTTGCCTGTTTTCAGATATATTTTTTTCTACTTTTTTCTCCCTGTAATATTGAAGAGGATCAGGTTCATTAAGCTTGAAGAATATAGAGGAATTAACACAGATTTATAGTCTTCAGTGGCAGAATTCTTGATTTATGATAAATCAGGGAAAGAAAATGAGCACTTGGCATGGCATAGATAGATTGGTAGTAAAACTATGTCCATAAATCATGCAAAGAGATGAATGCCTATTGGGTAAAATATTTCAGCATCAATGGGCAATTTTCTATTTTCCTCTCACACAACTAATAGAACAAAGATCCTTCTTCAGAATCCACATGACTGATTTCGGGTAGAATATAATTTCCCTTTCAATTTCCAATTGCTACTGAGTTGCCCTTGGCATTTTGCAGTGCAACAAAGTTGTATATGACCTTTTTGAGAGCTACTCAGCTACAGGGACCCCAAAATGTCAAGTGCAACTCAGCTGCTCTCAGAAATTTTCCACTTGCAATTCACTTGTACTTGAAATTGATCACATACAATGCAATTGAAATGCAAAAAGAGAAAAAAGACCTTGTAGAAACTCTCAGGAAATATTATTCGTATCATTGTAAATGTGACAGGGTATAATGGTCTCTGTCTTCATTAGTAAATATGGTCAAGTGGATTGAAGTAGGTCTTAGATCGAGTGCCTTGCATCTTACTCCCTGGCTAGGTGACCTTGTCCAAACCATTTAGCTTAAGGACATAGCATGTATATCACAGGTGCTCTCAGAATAGTGGCATATTTATCATTCTTTGTAAGTCTCATGTTCCTGTTTTTCTCCTCTGACTCTCTGCCTCATTCTTTTCCATGATAGAGTGCTGGTGTAACTCTGTAAAGGAGAAATTGTTCTGACCTGTGTTCATACTGTCCATTGAAGAAGAGCAAGTCAGCTTCTGTAACCCAGGTGTTCTTGTTTGCTCTTTCTGTCATTTTCACAGGAGAACATCATGATCCCCTGGCTC